TGCAACCATAGTTAAGGTTAACAACATGGATCTAGATGTTCTGCGTGAGAATCCTGATTGCCGAGGAGGTCAGGATTTATTCTCTCAAAACGACTTGGCGAACTCAAGACAACGGGTGTGCGAAGATAGACTCTTAACAAAAAACTCCACAGCAGGACAGCTCTGGAGTGACAGAGACCTTCGGTCACATTTCTCTAGACGGATGGGGCTTGTCGAGTAAGCATGCCCGGATCAATGCTTCATTACGTTCATCAGTACGCTCTTTGAGTACTGGTCTTGGTCAATTTTCACGCCAGCACCGAAGAAACCACAAGCGACTTACCCTTACTCTCTTCAGAAAAACTTCATTTTACTGTTCTTATAGCAACCTTTTTGTGAGAGGCTGCACGCTAGATGTTACTTTCCGGAACGCGAACGTTTCGGTTGTTGAGGGATGGTTTTATCGTAAAGATTTTTTGGTCAGAGAAAACGATGAGGGATTGCATGGCATCACTCAAGTGGGTCTGCGACTTTCTGCATTTTTTGGCCCTGCAGTCTCTGTTGAGATCGGAATTGAAGCGAAATTTCATACGATAGGAATGGCAGTGAAGCTTCTGCGTGACATTCTTCCATTGCGATAACTCCTTTAAGCCGCGCCCGTTGACTTCCTCTTGATGAGTCACCCAGGATCCCGACCGATTAGCAGACGGACCATTTTAATAGTCCTATCTTCAAAAACGTTCTACCTTTCTACCTTTCCTGGTTTGTCTCTGATTCGATCTTCTTTTTCGTATCGTTTAATAGCCCCCTACGCGGTTATTATAAAAATCGCAAGGAATTTCATAATGTTCTCCACCTCTCGCAGGTCAATGATTGCAAGTGGCATTGAATGAGCCTCATCCGTCTAAAATATATTGGGAGATCCAAATCAGTAACCGTGCATATTGCGAGGGAACCTTCATATGCGACTAATTAATAGCAGGTAAAGTGAATTGATAGATTATTTCTGACCTAGAAATTTCTGAATTTTGGCGCTCAAAATTTTGGGACACCCTGCACAAGTGAGAGGAAGCAACGAGAAAAGCGTAGACCAGTCTTCCAGATAGCGCTTTAAGAGAGTAACCATCCGGAACATCTCATATCTCTGGTCAGAGAAGTCCAAAAATAAGCCTAATACGGTCATGCGCACCTCTCATGGCTTATTACAAGTTGTAGACGTCACGGTTGCGGTATAAAACGAGCCAGCCAGAGCCCAGTCTTCTTCCCGCTTACGATGGATTTCATTACCAAGGCACTCAAGAATAGATCGCTGAAGAACACCATTTACGCTGATGACATCGCTCTGATCACGGACAAGTGAATGACTTCAGGGCAAGTAACAAAAATATCAGAAAGTTGTAGCCGAGAACGGGCTCTGTCTAAATGTGAAGACAACCAAGGGTGGATGCGACCGGTGTAAGAGTAGCGCTTTACAGATTTTATAACACCGTATTCTAGAACGTTGACTCATAGAATGTTTTCAGGGTATGACAATGGCTCTTCAAAGAATCGTCCACCCTTCTGGACCGAGGACGTTCACATACATCTCTTCTGCCTTCCTGTGGAACAATGACCTGCTCCAAACAAAACTATTCCACCCGCCAGATGCTCGGCGCGAAGACCCATCAATGTCTCTCTCTCTTATATGTGGTGCTGTAATATCTGTAGTGATGATTGCCGTATTATAGTTCTTTGATTCTGCTTTGTGTTTATTAGACGAGTAGACGAGTACGCGCATAGGATTTTGTTGTTTTAAGGATGAACTTTATATTTTTTTGCCGTGTCGCTCTACGATAAGCGTTACGCACCTTCCACTTGCACGCTGCATACTCTGGACTGGGTCAGAAATCAGACGTCAGGGTGGTCATGAACGCAGCCTTGTCCATGAAAAATATGAAAAAAAGAGGAAGACGACAGAAGATGCTATTCACAGAAGGGAGTGGCAGCAACTACGAGAGCAGTGAACCTTGCGGCCGACCCTGATTAACGCCAAATAGAAGAAGAAGGTAAGATACGCATGCATTTACATACATGTGTAAATGAACACCAAAGACACGATGCAAATTGCATCTATAATATATGGAATTCTTCTTAAACCCTTTAATTATATATCTGGTGGTGTAAAAAAACGGAAAAGACGGAAATTCGTGTGCAAAATTTTCGAGTGACATAGAAAAGTTTTCACACATCACGATGTTGCCGCTCAAAATTAATCTGCTTATTCAGTCCATGACGGTTTAGTGAGTGATCAGCATAGCACA